CAATAGGGCACGGCAGCCGCCTTCTGGGGCTGGGGCTGGGGGTGGGGGGTGTGACTACAGGAGGTGAGCGGCCTGGAGCCCCATGGGGGCAGTGGACCTGGAAGGGGGTACAGCAGGCCCTTCAGGAAGGGTCCAAGGGTGAGCGAGTACAGGGAGGCATTAAGGCCCTCATCCCCAAAGACCTTGGCTCTGAGATCAGTAGACAGCCTGCCTGCCCCCACCCCCGCTCCCGCCACCGCACAAGCCCCACCTGCACGCTGGGACTCAAGGGGGCAAAGGAAAGACAAGGAGTGCCCCTTAGCCCTGCCCCAGTTACAGGCCCTAGGTCCCCGTCCTCCACGGTGGAACTGAAGGGAGGCCACCAGGACCTCAGGACTGAGACACCGGTGTAGCCTTGCCTGGCCACTGAACTTAAGCAAGTGATTCAACTGAAACTCAGTTTTCTCATCTGTGAAAGGGGAATATAATGCCTCACAGACGGTCCTGACAGTCAAATACAGTAATGGAGGTGGCCAAATTTGAGTCTGGTAATTGCCATGCTGATTTAATAATGACTGTAGAAGCACTGGCCCAAGGCTTGCTTCTCACTAAATTCTTGCCTCTCAGCTGCCGTGAAAGATCCCTTTGCAAGTACATTATGTGGTTCTCACTTCTGGCCTCTGGGGGCCTGTAATGGGGGCAGGGGAGGTCGGTCAGAGGGGGTCCTTCCAGTGTAACCTAGCACAGACAAGCTCTCCTCAGGCTCATCCCCCAGGGTTGTGAAGGGCCCACCCCAACTGCCTGCCCCACCGGCTCCAGACCCGCCCCCACTGCCCTGCGCCCTTGGGGTGTGGGGCTGAGGAAGTGAGCCTACCCAGCTGCCCGGAGAAAGTGCCAGTGTGGCAGCTGCCTGCACAGGGAGGGGTCAGCTGCTGGCCTCTCTCAAGGCCGGGGATCACTCTCCTGCCTCAGGCCTCCCCAGCCCCTACCGGGACCACATGCTCAGGAGCAAGACTGGGCAATAGCTGCCACCCTTTCCCTCTCTGCGGAGTTCTTCCCTCTCCCAAGTGTTGATTTGCATTTCCCCCTCCACCCCCAGCTACTCAAGCCCCCAGGGACAAGGTGACAGTTAGACCTCTTCCTCCGGCTAGTGGCCCAGAGCCCTCACTTCCTTCCAGGTATCAACCGGGATGAGGGAGGGGTTGACAGGGTGATAGTGGCTGGGTTTGGGGAAGAAGGAATGCAGAATGGAGAGAAGCTGGAGTCCCCACCCTGGTGTCTGAAGCCGCTTACCTTCCTTCAAGTTCTCTCCAAGGGCTCAGTTTGGAGGAGGGAGAGTGTACAGGCAAGAAACAGAGCATTGTCCTTCAAGTGGGCTGTCAGCTCCCTGGCTGCTTACAGGCCCAGGCCTCCCTCCATGGGAAGGGCCCCCAAGGAAATCTTGGGCTTCAAGTGCTCTATCCATGACCCTATAAAGCCTGCCCTCCACTCTGGGTGAAGCGTTGAGAATAATAGTGTTGAAGTCTAGAGGGGAGATGTTTTCTATGGTATTTCTCAGAGAATCTGGCATCTTGGTGCCAGTACTGTGGGACAGTTTTCTCTGCACTCAGTTCCTGCTTCTTGGGATCTTAAAGCAAAGAGAAACACAAGCATCTGTAGGCCAAAGGCACTGAGCCAGGCAGCATAGGACATATAAAGTAGCAGTGACTCCTCTTGAAGTCAGGCTGACCACCATCTCTGGGGTGGTCTTCTCATCCATGAAGCAAGGGGCTGGCCAAAGTCAAAACTGTCTCAGCCCTCACATTCTCTGTATGATCTGCCTTCAGTCTTTCTACAGCCTCAGCACCCTGCACACCTCCTCCAACCCCTGCTGAAGATGTCTGAACCCTGAGACCCAGACAGGCAGTCATGTGCTATCTTCTTAGTCTAAGCCTTACTGGCCCACCCTACAGCAATTACCAAGTGTGGCTGTCTGTTCTAGCTTAAACAAGACGGGAAGGGGGAACGGCCACACATGAGCAGCAGTAGTGACAGCTGACAGGCTGACATGAACCTGTGGTGGAAAAATATTCAGTCCCAGAACATGTCACCACATGATACAAAAACAGAGGTTTCTAACAATGACTTTGAGCCAAATAGAGGTTAAATCATACCCAGACTCTCATATCCAAATAGCAAGCAATTATATATTAAAAACAAAAACTGATATTGTAAAAAAAGATGAGAGAACAGTTAAAAAGCCATGGTGCTTAAAGGGGAATGTTTCAGTTTTGATATATTCATGTATAACAGGTGGAGTGTCTACTGCTCAACAATGCTGGAAGGATGACATCCTCGACACACTTACCTAGAACTAATCTAGTGATAGACAACTTTGGATAATGACAATCCATCAGGTATACTTCATAGTTTTATAGCTTTCAAATTGCTCTTAACCTAATATATTTGATTCTTACAACTGTCCTAAGACAGAGACCACCAACTGCATCTTCAGGCAAATTTATTGGAAGTATATGTATAAACAGAAAAGTGAACAAATCATGAGTGCACAGCTCAATAAATTTTCAGAAAGTGAACTGATTGACCTATGTTACTAAAGAAACTAGACTATAACCAGCACCCTAGGTGCCCCTCATGCCCTCTTCAGGCCCACCTTCATAGGCAACCACTATCCTGCTACCAGAGTTTTATCAATTGCATTTTATAGAGGATATTTGATTTAGAGAAGCGACAGAAATGTCAGGGCTAGTGGGTGGTAGAGGCAGCAATTGGGAGGCAGGGAGAATGCCCCTAGTTGGTTACGTCTTTTCATCACACAAGTCCCAGTGTTCCAGTGAGGTGTGAAAGCGCCATAGTTGTGCTGCAGAGGGAGGGAGGTGGCAAGGATGAAAAAGCCAGAGGCTGGAGCCACAGACCAGCTGTTACCTAAGAGCCACTGGAGTCTAACAGAAGTGCAGCTACCTGGCAACTGAAGGACTCGACCAGATGCCCAGTACTCCACTCAAGGATCCTTGAGTAAATGCCAAGCATCTCCTCCCCAGGCTCTGTCCCCACACGCCTCCCTCTTTGGCTCATTTTAGACCTGGGGACTAAAGATGTATGTGGTGGGAGCAGGGACATATTAACTTTCACTTAATACATTAATGCCCCGTGCTGGAGCCCCTGTGGAACACTCACCTAGCAAACCTTATGCTGGGTGTGGGCAGCGTACTTTTTGAGCTAAGGCTCCACTACTTGATCATGGTTGTCACTCTAACACTGAGCCTCAGTTTTATTACATAAAGATGTTAACTATGACACAGGTTTTGTGAGCATCAAATGAGATAATGGACAAGAAAGCCCTTTGTCAACTGTAAAATGTTACTTAAATGAAAGGCTTTACTGACACTAAACATTAACCAGATTTCCAAAGAAAGGTGTTATTGGTCTGTTCTTACACATTACACACACAGATCAGATGTCAGGGAGGGGACTTGAGGACTGAACTGTAGGTTACAGACGGGCTGGGAATAAGAAGGTAGTGGCCTTGCTGAGGAGTGAGGCATCAGTCCCCAAACCTGAAGGGCCCAACCCTGATACGCTTGGGGAACTGCTCCCCTCCAAGACCAGAACGTTCTGACCCTTGTTCTGTCACTTCCCAATCCCCACCTTGGGCTGGAGGCTGCACTCAGCAATGCACTGCCCCTCAGCCCACTTTGGAGAGCCCCAACTGCACGGCCTGTGGTGGGCAGGGAGTGGAGAGCGAGGCTCGAGCAGGCAAGGGCAAGGCGGCCTGGCCGTTGCTGTTCCTCACCCGACTGACCTGCCTCCGTCCTCAGTGAACTAGGGAGGAGCCTTGACTTTCTGAAGGAGAGAAGCCAGACTACTGAGCAGAGACCAAGGTCTGGGCAGGTATGGGACATCAAGTCAAAATGAGGCTGAAACCTTAACAAGCACAATGGACAGGGCACAGCCCTCATGTACGTGGAATGCAGGACCAGTGCCTGAAACCTCCTTTTCCGCACAACCCTGGCCACTCCAAGGAGCCTTGAAGAACCAACAGGCTGTTTCAGCTTCTTTGGGCTCCAAGCAGAGGACAGGACTCCCAACACCTTACTGCCTGGCTGGGCTGCTGAGTGCCCACAGGCAGGTTCAGGGACCAGAGAAAGCAAGAAAGTGAATTCAGCAGCAGCTCCTAGGCAGAACTCACTGGGCACAGAGTTTGTGAAATCCGGTCACTGCAACTGGCCACCCTTCCCCCACAACCACCAGCGCCTGTGTCTTTCACTTCCTGCAAGGCTGACAGTTAGGGCCCCAGTTAGTGTGGGGCTGAGACAGCCTGAGTGTGGTTATTTGTGCACAGCTACTCTTGCCTCCCCTCCCCACAACTGTTTCCATTCTCACCAAGCAGCCACGTCCGGGTCAGACACGCAGGACAGCAACAGGGGATTTCCAAGGGACTTTTTGAGAAAGCCAGTGAAAGTGGGGTGTTGGCTGCACGGCCTGGGCACTCTTGCTGAAACCCATTTCTTCCCTACGGGATGTGAGCTGCAGCCTGGTGGGGCTGCTTCCCAAGGCTCCTTTCAGATCAAAACTGAATGGAAACCACTACCCCTGAACATTTTCAGTTTGTTGGACCAGGGAAATTCTTGAACAACTCAGTTGGAGGTGGAGTTAACAAACCACTCCCTCAGAGTTTGAAGGCAGAGAACATGATTCTAGTGTAAGAAGACCTCTGAGTGGCAACATGAGCAGCTGGGCCCCAGTTTCCTTCCCATAGGCCTAGACAAGGAAAGCAGGGGAGTCACCAAGGTCATCTCTCCCTTCTTCCCACAAACCCCGGGCCACAGGTAACAAGGGACACTGACTCACTAGCAACACCAGGTGGCTGAGACACAGATCCCTGGTGCACAAAGCCCTCTGCGGGAGTCGGAGCTCACCCTGCAGTGGGGCTCTGGGTGTCCCCCACACTGCTCTGGCTCATGGCGCACATACAGTGTATGCCGAAGACAGGCTAACAGAAGGAGAGCAAATCAATTTTACCTCTTATAAAATTGAATTTATAAAATTTTGTATATTGTCACAACCAATCTTGAGGTAAAAAAGGCAGAAAGAATGTAATCATTTTCATTTTACAGATAGGGAATAAACAGGGAAATCAAAATGGGGACACTAACAGGATTTCCTGTGGAAATTTAAGCAAATGAGAATTTATGGTAAATTTTTAATTCCAATACAATAACTCACCTTGGCCAATAACATGACATCACTCAAGGACCCCCTAATAGGGCAGAGGAGAAAGGGAGGGGTCCATATCTTATGGAGGCACAAGCTAGCCAGACCAAGACCCAGCAGCCACCGAGGGTCTCCAGGCAGGGGAATGTGGTGGAATGAGGGTAAGTGGGAGAGGGATGGCATGGCCCAAGGTGTAGGAAGATCAGTAAAAAGAAGAGGCGAGACAAGGGGCATAAAGTATTAAACATGGTCAAGAGGCAGAGTACCAAGAAGCCTCAGTAGTTCTTCAAGGGATACCTACTTGGCCAGGTCTTAGAGGCCAGAAGGCTGCAACTCCAAAGCTGATGGGGTTGCCCAGACTCAGAAGAACCTTCCAACAAGATTCAAGGAAGTACCTTAGAAAGGCTACAAGCCTGGAGGCTCAGCAACAGGTGATGGGAACAGAAGGGCCTATGCCTCTCTGGCAAAGTGCTTCCAGGACAAATGAGTTTCTTACTGTGCCCAGCAAAGAAAAAGGAAGAGGGAGGCAAGGCATCTGTCGTGGGCTTTCCTAGGGCTTCGTTTATTGGCTTTGACCCAGAGTCATATCCATGGGCAAGGGCATAGCCACTGACTTCTTACTACCCACTGACTTCAGTCTCTGTTAACCCACCAACCCTGACCACTCCTACCCCCACCAGTAGTCCAAAGAAGGTAAAATGGTCCAAGGACATCTGTGCTGCTCTGCTGGGTCTGTCTGCCGAGTCTCAGAATTGGAGGGTAGGGAATATCCGCGGTTCTGCTCATTTAGTTCCACAACAAAAAAATAAGCAGAGGCAGGAGGTGGGGAGCAAAGATGCTGGCAGCCATGCATCTTGCTAGGTCTTTATAGCCGTGTCTCTGGATTTGTAGGCCACTCCACGACTTTTCAGCTCCCGTACAATTCCTGTGGCAAGAAAAGAAACAGCTGTGAGGGAGAAGATTCTGGGAGATAAGAAAGATCCCCCAGTTACCACTTTGGGGGGCAGGGAGAAGAGGTGCCCTAAGCAAACTGGAGTTCCTACACTGCTCATCCATAGTCCTGCCTGGTTGGTTTGTTTCCACTGAAGAGCCAGGCAAATGATGGGCAATGACTTGGTAAAAATAGAGGCACAATGTATATATACAGTTATCAAAAGCAAGGGTCCTGGAGCCAAAAGACCTGGATTCAAACTCCGGCTCCTCACGTACTAGCTGGGTGACCCTGGGAAAATTATTTAACCTCTTGGTGCCTCCTGGAGTTAATTCACATAAAGGACTTGCAAAGAGCTCGGCACACTAGATGAACATTGGCTGTTACTACAGTTGTTAGGACCTTTACCTTGGGGCAGGCGACCAGTGACCGACACTGCATATACACCCGGCTTGAAGTTACCTGAGAGGGAAGAAAAGAGATGGAAGTTAGAGTGGGTTACGGCTAAAGACCAAATGGAAGTTTACACTGAAAATGAGAGAAATGCTGCAACCCAATCACTACTTTTGGCTGCATGTGTTAAATGATAGGACACCTTGTCTTTCGTACAACTCCCACCTTTCTCACTCCAAGGCACTTACCCACTGATTTAAGATAGCAACACCGCCACAACCAGGTCAGACAAGGAGAAAGGGAGACACTTACTGACTCGCTGCCACTTGGAGACCCAGCTGTCCTCTGGACTCATCATTGCGATGATTCTAGGAAGGGAAAAGAAACAGAGTCAGCCTGAACCTGCCCTACCAGGGAAGAGAGAGATTGATGTAACTACCTTCTTTACTCTGTTCCCAGCCAGCAGAATAGTTATGGGACAGGAAATCGAGGAAACAGCCAACTATTGAATCTCTACTAGAAAGCAGGGGCAACTGAGTTCTAATGCTGGGAAGGGGTTGACTCCAAGCTAATACTGACAAAGGGCCTTTGTACTTATGTCCCTGGCCCACCAGTCACAGGTCAGTCACCATCTCCAAAAGGCTATTTCACCAGGCTCAAAAACATACTCAGCCCACAGACGCCCTGGGAAACGGGACAGCTTTAGACGAACGTTCCAGCCAAATGACCACTAGAGGGCTGGGGCCTAATGCAAAGTCAAAACAATGGATCCTTCTTCCAGAAATAAGTTAGACTTGGCCAAGCTCTGCGTCTAGTAAGCTGTACACTCTGTCACATATATGGAGACATCTCGCAGAATTTCACCAGTACGACAAGACTCAATGGTTGAGCTAATATAGGAAAAGCACCCAGCACAGAGTAGGTGCTAACTAAGCATTAGCTCCCCTTAATATCCTAATCGTTCTTCCCCGGGTAGCTCTGATCCCCTGACATGTAAGCATCAGGTGCTTTCAGAAGCTACAGAGGTAATTTTTAAAAGTCAATCATTCAATCAAATGATGGCCTATTATGAAAGGTGTGTTCTAGTCTCTGACATTTGTTGATTACTCCCTCAAAATCCATTCCCTCTTCTCTTGGCAACAATCTTGGGATTCCTGTTTAGGGAGCATCCCCTCCCATCCAAATTGTACATGCTCAGTCATATGCTTGAGTGGAACTGACCCCACCCATCTCCAGGGGCGGCAAGTAGGGTTTAACATTTGCCCTGGCCCAGCAGACTGATCTGGAGTAGCCACATAAACAGGATATTCTCCTGGCCAAAGTATATAACTTCTCTGTCCTTATGACCTGGAAGGGGGTACAGCAGGCCCTTCAGGAAGGGTCCAAGGGTGAGCGAGTACAGGGAGGCATTAAGGCCCTCATCCCCAAAGACCTTGGCTCTGAGATCAGTAGACAGCCTGCCTGCCCCCACCCCCGCTCCCGCCACCGCACGAGCCCCACCTGCACGCTGGGACTCAAGGGGGCAAAGGAAAGACAAGGAGTGCCCCTTAGCCCTGCCCCAGTTACAGGCCCTAGGTCCCCGTCCTCCACGGTGGAACTGAAGGGAGGCCACCAGGACCTCAGGACTGAGACACCGGTGTAGCCTTGCCTGGCCACTGAACTTAAGCAAGTGATTCAACTGAAACTCAGTTTTCTCATCTGTGAAAGGGGAATATAATGCCTCACAGACGGTCCTGACAGTCAAATACAGTAATGGAGGTGGCCAAATTTGAGTCTGGTAATTGCCATGCTGATTTAATAATGACTGTAGAAGCACTGGCCCAAGGCTTGCTTCTCACTAAATTCTTGCCTCTCAGCTGCCGTGAAAGATCCCTTTGCAAGTACATTATGTGGTTCTCACTTCTGGCCTCTGGGGGCCTGTAATGGGGGCAGGGGAGGTCGGTCAGAGGGGGTCCTTCCAGTGTAACCTAGCACAGACAAGCTCTCCTCAGGCTCATCCCCCAGGGTTGTGAAGGGCCCACCCCAACTGCCTGCCCCACCGGCTCCAGACCCGCCCCCACTGCCCTGCGCCCTTGGGGTGTGGGGCTGAGGAAGTGAGCCTACCCAGCTGCCCGGAGAAAGTGCCAGTGTGGCAGCTGCCTGCACAGGGAGGGGTCAGCTGCTGGCCTCTCTCAAGGCCGGGGATCACTCTCCTGCCTCAGGCCTCCCCAGCCCCTACCGGGACCACATGCTCAGGAGCAAGACTGGGCAATAGCTGCCACCCTTTCCCTCTCTGCGGAGTTCTTCCCTCTCCCAAGTGTTGATTTGCATTTCCCCCTCCACCCCCAGCTACTCAAGCCCCCAGGGACAAGGTGACAGTTAGACCTCTTCCTCCGGCTAGTGGCCCAGAGCCCTCACTTCCTTCCAGGTATCAACCGGGATGAGGGAGGGGTTGACAGGGTGATAGTGGCTGGGTTTGGGGAAGAAGGAATGCAGAATGGAGAGAAGCTGGAGTCCCCACCCTGGTGTCTGAAGCCGCTTACCTTCCTTCAAGTTCTCTCCAAGGGCTCAGTTTGGAGGAGGGAGAGTGTACAGGCAAGAAACAGAGCATTGTCCTTCAAGTGGGCTGTCAGCTCCCTGGCTGCTTACAGGCCCAGGCCTCCCTCCATGGGAAGGGCCCCCAAGGAAATCTTGGGCTTCAAGTGCTCTATCCATGACCCTATAAAGCCTGCCCTCCACTCTGGGTGAAGCGTTGAGAATAATAGTGTTGAAGTCTAGAGGGGAGATGTTTTCTATGGTATTTCTCAGAGAATCTGGCATCTTGGTGCCAGTACTGTGGGACAGTTTTCTCTGCACTCAGTTCCTGCTTCTTGGGATCTTAAAGCAAAGAGAAACACAAGCATCTGTAGGCCAAAGGCACTGAGCCAGGCAGCATAGGACATATAAAGTAGCAGTGACTCCTCTTGAAGTCAGGCTGACCACCATCTCTGGGGTGGTCTTCTCATCCATGAAGCAAGGGGCTGGCCAAAGTCAAAACTGTCTCAGCCCTCACATTCTCTGTATGATCTGCCTTCAGTCTTTCTACAGCCTCAGCACCCTGCACACCTCCTCCAACCCCTGCTGAAGATGTCTGAACCCTGAGACCCAGACAGGCAGTCATGTGCTATCTTCTTAGTCTAAGCCTTACTGGCCCACCCTACAGCAATTACCAAGTGTGGCTGTCTGTTCTAGCTTAAACAAGACGGGAAGGGGGAACGGCCACACATGAGCAGCAGTAGTGACAGCTGACAGGCTGACATGAACCTGTGGTGGAAAAATATTCAGTCCCAGAACATGTCACCACATGATACAAAAACAGAGGTTTCTAACAATGACTTTGAGCCAAATAGAGGTTAAATCATACCCAGACTCTCATATCCAAATAGCAAGCAATTATATATTAAAAACAAAAACTGATATTGTAAAAAAAGATGAGAGAACAGTTAAAAAGCCATGGTGCTTAAAGGGGAATGTTTCAGTTTTGATATATTCATGTATAACAGGTGGAGTGTCTACTGCTCAACAATGCTGGAAGGATGACATCCTCGACACACTTACCTAGAACTAATCTAGTGATAGACAACTTTGGATAATGACAATCCATCAGGTATACTTCATAGTTTTATAGCTTTCAAATTGCTCTTAACCTAATATATTTGATTCTTACAACTGTCCTAAGACAGAGACCACCAACTGCATCTTCAGGCAAATTTATTGGAAGTATATGTATAAACAGAAAAGTGAACAAATCATGAGTGCACAGCTCAATAAATTTTCAGAAAGTGAACTGATTGACCTATGTTACTAAAGAAACTAGACTATAACCAGCACCCTAGGTGCCCCTCATGCCCTCTTCAGGCCCACCTTCATAGGCAACCACTATCCTGCTACCAGAGTTTTATCAATTGCATTTTATAGAGGATATTTGATTTAGAGAAGCGACAGAAATGTCAGGGCTAGTGGGTGGTAGAGGCAGCAATTGGGAGGCAGGGAGAATGCCCCTAGTTGGTTACGTCTTTTCATCACACAAGTCCCAGTGTTCCAGTGAGGTGTGAAAGCGCCATAGTTGTGCTGCAGAGGGAGGGAGGTGGCAAGGATGAAAAAGCCAGAGGCTGGAGCCACAGACCAGCTGTTACCTAAGAGCCACTGGAGTCTAACAGAAGTGCAGCTACCTGGCAACTGAAGGACTCGACCAGATGCCCAGTACTCCACTCAAGGATCCTTGAGTAAATGCCAAGCATCTCCTCCCCAGGCTCTGTCCCCACACGCCTCCCTCTTTGGCTCATTTTAGACCTGGGGACTAAAGATGTATGTGGTGGGAGCAGGGACATATTAACTTTCACTTAATACATTAATGCCCCGTGCTGGAGCCCCTGTGGAACACTCACCTAGCAAACCTTATGCTGGGTGTGGGCAGCGTACTTTTTGAGCTAAGGCTCCACTACTTGATCATGGTTGTCACTCTAACACTGAGCCTCAGTTTTATTACATAAAGATGTTAACTATGACACAGGTTTTGTGAGCATCAAATGAGATAATGGACAAGAAAGCCCTTTGTCAACTGTAAAATGTTACTTAAATGAAAGGCTTTACTGACACTAAACATTAACCAGATTTCCAAAGAAAGGTGTTATTGGTCTGTTCTTACACATTACACACACAGATCAGATGTCAGGGAGGGGACTTGAGGACTGAACTGTAGGTTACAGACGGGCTGGGAATAAGAAGGTAGTGGCCTTGCTGAGGAGTGAGGCATCAGTCCCCAAACCTGAAGGGCCCAACCCTGATACGCTTGGGGAACTGCTCCCCTCCAAGACCAGAACGTTCTGACCCTTGTTCTGTCACTTCCCAATCCCCACCTTGGGCTGGAGGCTGCACTCAGCAATGCACTGCCCCTCAGCCCACTTTGGAGAGCCCCAACTGCACGGCCTGTGGTGGGCAGGGAGTGGAGAGCGAGGCTCGAGCAGGCAAGGGCAAGGCGGCCTGGCCGTTGCTGTTCCTCACCCGACTGACCTGCCTCCGTCCTCAGTGAACTAGGGAGGAGCCTTGACTTTCTGAAGGAGAGAAGCCAGACTACTGAGCAGAGACCAAGGTCTGGGCAGGTATGGGACATCAAGTCAAAATGAGGCTGAAACCTTAACAAGCACAATGGACAGGGCACAGCCCTCATGTACGTGGAATGCAGGACCAGTGCCTGAAACCTCCTTTTCCGCACAACCCTGGCCACTCCAAGGAGCCTTGAAGAACCAACAGGCTGTTTCAGCTTCTTTGGGCTCCAAGCAGAGGACAGGACTCCCAACACCTTACTGCCTGGCTGGGCTGCTGAGTGCCCACAGGCAGGTTCAGGGACCAGAGAAAGCAAGAAAGTGAATTCAGCAGCAGCTCCTAGGCAGAACTCACTGGGCACAGAGTTTGTGAAATCCGGTCACTGCAACTGGCCACCCTTCCCCCACAACCACCAGCGCCTGTGTCTTTCACTTCCTGCAAGGCTGACAGTTAGGGCCCCAGTTAGTGTGGGGCTGAGACAGCCTGAGTGTGGTTATTTGTGCACAGCTACTCTTGCCTCCCCTCCCCACAACTGTTTCCATTCTCACCAAGCAGCCACGTCCGGGTCAGACACGCAGGACAGCAACAGGGGATTTCCAAGGGACTTTTTGAGAAAGCCAGTGAAAGTGGGGTGTTGGCTGCACGGCCTGGGCACTCTTGCTGAAACCCATTTCTTCCCTACGGGATGTGAGCTGCAGCCTGGTGGGGCTGCTTCCCAAGGCTCCTTTCAGATCAAAACTGAATGGAAACCACTACCCCTGAACATTTTCAGTTTGTTGGACCAGGGAAATTCTTGAACAACTCAGTTGGAGGTGGAGTTAACAAACCACTCCCTCAGAGTTTGAAGGCAGAGAACATGATTCTAGTGTAAGAAGACCTCTGAGTGGCAACATGAGCAGCTGGGCCCCAGTTTCCTTCCCATAGGCCTAGACAAGGAAAGCAGGGGAGTCACCAAGGTCATCTCTCCCTTCTTCCCACAAACCCCGGGCCACAGGTAACAAGGGACACTGACTCACTAGCAACACCAGGTGGCTGAGACACAGATCCCTGGTGCACAAAGCCCTCTGCGGGAGTCGGAGCTCACCCTGCAGTGGGGCTCTGGGTGTCCCCCACACTGCTCTGGCTCATGGCGCACATACAGTGTATGCCGAAGACAGGCTAACAGAAGGAGAGCAAATCAATTTTACCTCTTATAAAATTGAATTTATAAAATTTTGTATATTGTCACAACCAATCTTGAGGTAAAAAAGGCAGAAAGAATGTAATCATTTTCATTTTACAGATAGGGAATAAACAGGGAAATCAAAATGGGGACACTAACAGGATTTCCTGTGGAAATTTAAGCAAATGAGAATTTATGGTAAATTTTTAATTCCAATACAATAACTCACCTTGGCCAATAACATGACATCACTCAAGGACCCCCTAATAGGGCAGAGGAGAAAGGGAGGGGTCCATATCTTATGGAGGCACAAGCTAGCCAGACCAAGACCCAGCAGCCACCGAGGGTCTCCAGGCAGGGGAATGTGGTGGAATGAGGGTAAGTGGGAGAGGGATGGCATGGCCCAAGGTGTAGGAAGATCAGTAAAAAGAAGAGGCGAGACAAGGGGCATAAAGTATTAAACATGGTCAAGAGGCAGAGTACCAAGAAGCCTCAGTAGTTCTTCAAGGGATACCTACTTGGCCAGGTCTTAGAGGCCAGAAGGCTGCAACTCCAAAGCTGATGGGGTTGCCCAGACTCAGAAGAACCTTCCAACAAGATTCAAGGAAGTACCTTAGAAAGGCTACAAGCCTGGAGGCTCAGCAACAGGTGATGGGAACAGAAGGGCCTATGCCTCTCTGGCAAAGTGCTTCCAGGACAAATGAGTTTCTTACTGTGCCCAGCAAAGAAAAAGGAAGAGGGAGGCAAGGCATCTGTCGTGGGCTTTCCTAGGGCTTCGTTTATTGGCTTTGACCCAGAGTCATATCCATGGGCAAGGGCATAGCCACTGACTTCTTACTACCCACTGACTTCAGTCTCTGTTAACCCACCAACCCTGACCACTCCTACCCCCACCAGTAGTCCAAAGAAGGTAAAATGGTCCAAGGACATCTGTGCTGCTCTGCTGGGTCTGTCTGCCGAGTCTCAGAATTGGAGGGTAGGGAATATCCGCGGTTCTGCTCATTTAGTTCCACAACAAAAAAATAAGCAGAGGCAGGAGGTGGGGAGCAAAGATGCTGGCAGCCATGCATCTTGCTAGGTCTTTATAGCCGTGTCTCTGGATTTGTAGGCCACTCCACGACTTTTCAGCTCCCGTACAATTCCTGTGGCAAGAAAAGAAACAGCTGTGAGGGAGAAGATTCTGGGAGATAAGAAAGATCCCCCAGTTACCACTTTGGGGGGCAGGGAGAAGAGGTGCCCTAAGCAAACTGGAGTTCCTACACTGCTCATCCATAGTCCTGCCTGGTTGGTTTGTTTCCACTGAAGAGCCAGGCAAATGATGGGCAATGACTTGGTAAAAATAGAGGCACAATGTATATATACAGTTATCAAAAGCAAGGGTCCTGGAGCCAAAAGACCTGGATTCAAACTCCGGCTCCTCACGTACTAGCTGGGTGACCCTGGGAAAATTATTTAACCTCTTGGTGCCTCCTGGAGTTAATTCACATAAAGGACTTGCAAAGAGCTCGGCACACTAGATGAACATTGGCTGTTACTACAGTTGTTAGGACCTTTACCTTGGGGCAGGCGACCAGTGACCGACACTGCATATACACCCGGCTTGAAGTTACCTGAGAGGGAAGAAAAGAGATGGAAGTTAGAGTGGGTTACGGCTAAAGACCAAATGGAAGTTTACACTGAAAATGAGAGAAATGCTGCAACCCAATCACTACTTTTGGCTGCATGTGTTAAATGATAGGACACCTTGTCTTTCGTACAACTCCCACCTTTCTCACTCCAAGGCACTTACCCACTGATTTAAGATAGCAACACCGCCACAACCAGGTCAGACAAGGAGAAAGGGAGACACTTACTGACTCGCTGCCACTTGGAGACCCAGCTGTCCTCTGGACTCATCATTGCGATGATTCTAGGAAGGGAAAAGAAACAGAGTCAGCCTGAACCTGCCCTACCAGGGAAGAGAGAGATTGATGTAACTACCTTCTTTACTCTGTTCCCAGCCAGCAGAATAGTTATGGGACAGGAAATCGAGGAAACAGCCAACTATTGAATCTCTACTAGAAAGCAGGGGCAACTGAGTTCTAATGCTGGGAAGGGGTTGACTCCAAGCTAATACTGACAAAGGGCCTTTGTACTTATGTCCCTGGCCCACCAGTCACAGGTCAGTCACCATCTCCAAAAGGCTATTTCACCAGGCTCAAAAACATACTCAGCCCACAGACGCCCTGGGAAACGGGACAGCTTTAGACGAACGTTCCAGCCAAATGACCACTAGAGGGCTGGGGCCTAATGCAAAGTCAAAACAATGGATCCTTCTTCCAGAAATAAGTTAGACTTGGCCAAGCTCTGCGTCTAGTAAGCTGTACACTCTGTCACATATATGGAGACATCTCGCAGAATTTCACCAGTACGACAAGACTCAATGGTTGAGCTAATATAGGAAAAGCACCCAGCACAGAGTAGGTGCTAACTAAGCATTAGCTCCCCTTAATATCCTAATCGTTCTTCCCCGGGTAGCTCTGATCCCCTGACATGTAAGCATCAGGTGCTTTCAGAAGCTACAGAGGTAATTTTTAAAAGTCAATCATTCAATCAAATGATGGCCTATTATGAAAGGTGTGTTCTAGTCTCTGACATTTGTTGATTACTCCCTCAAAATCCATTCCCTCTTCTCTTGGCAACAATCTTGGGATTCCTGTTTAGGGAGCATCCCCTCCCATCCAAATTGTACATGCTCAGTCATATGCTTGAGTGGAACTGACCCCACCCATCTCCAGGGGCGGCAAGTAGGGTTTAACATTTGCCCTGGCCCAGCAGACTGATCTGGAGTAGCCACATAAACAGGATATTCTCCTGGCCAAAGTATATAACTTCTCTGTCCTTAATATCTATCTTTCTAGTCGTATAATCTCTATTACTCAGCCTTATGATTTAACCTAAACCTAATTCCCACTGTTCTCTAAACACTCTTAAATCACTCCTTTGTTTTAAAGTGCTTTTTCTACCTCTTTCTCACAGCAATTGCCTCAAAAATCCTGTACTTTTCTGAAGAGCCCAAATAATATGCTGTGCCTCCATTTCAGGCTGAGTTCATCTAGCCCTCCTCTGATCTCCTTTAACTGCTGATATATACCCACTCTTCAAAACCTAATATGCAATTGAATATATAACTAACTCCTACAATTCAACAACAAAAAAACAAACCACCCAATTCAAAAATGAGCAAAGGACTTGAACAGATATTTTTCCAAAAATGACATACAAATGGCCAATAAGCACATGAATAGATGCTCATCATTAGGAAAATGTAAATCAAAACCACACTGAGATACGACCTCATCCCCAATAGGATGGCTAATAACAAAAACAAAACAAAACCCAGAAAACATCAAGTGTTGACAAGCATGTGAAGAAATAAGAATCCTTATGCCATGCTAGTAAGAATATAAAATGGTGCTGCTACTATAGAAAACAGTATGACAGTTCCTCAAAATATTAAACATTGAATGATCCAAGCACCCAAAGTATCCATCAACAGATGAATGGATAAAGATGTGGTACATATACATAATGGAATACTATCCAGCCATTGAAAAAAAATCCTGCTATTTGCGACAATATGGAGGATATTATGCTCAGTGAAATAAACCAGGTGGAGACAGACAAATACCATATGACTTCACTTATTTGTGGAATATAAAAACAAAATGAACAAAATAGCAGTAGACTCAGACACTGAGAAGTGACTAGTGGTTACCATGAGGGATACTGTTGGGGTGAGGGGAATAAAGGTGCACAAAAATTCTCAATCATAATATAAGTTGATCATGGTAGTACAGCATGGAGAATATAGCCAATGATTCTGTGACATCTTTCTATGTTGACAGATAGTACCTGCACTAGTGAGGGTCGGGATTTAATAATATGGGTAACTGGTGAACCACTCACTGTGTTGTACACCTGAAACCAATGTAAGATTGTGTATCAACTGTACTTTAACACAAAAACTAAGAATGACCCAGCTTTTCCATTTCTGGATATTTAACCAAAAGAAGTGAAAGCAGTGACTTGAACAGATATTTGTAAACCCAGGTTCATAAACAGTCAAAAGGTGGTAGCACCCGAGTGTCCACTGACAAATGAATGGATAAATAAAATGTGGTATATACATACAATGGAGTATTTAGCTTAAAAAGGAAATCCTGACACATGCTAAATGGATTAGACTTTGAAGACATTATACTAAATGAAATAAATTTGCCAGTCACAAAAGGGCAAATATTGTGCGACTCCCTCTACATGAAGTATCTGGAGTAGTCAAATTCATAGAGAAAGAAAGTAGAATGATGGTGGCCAGGGCTGTGGGGAGAGGGAAATGAAAAGGAGATGAAAGATGAAAAGAGTTCTGAAGATGGATGCTGGTGATGGTTGCACAACAATGTGAATATACTTAATGCCAATGACTTCTACACCTAAAGGTGCTAATTTCTCTTATTATGTACATTTTACCATAATTTGAGAAAATCCTAATATACGAAACTTTACACTATGTCTCTGGTTAACAGTATCTCACTGGGTAAACCTTGACATCTCTCACAGCAGCCAACACAGTACTCTACCCACCAATGGGAGGCCTTTTGTTCATTTGTTGGCACTGAACGGATAGTGCTAACAAATGAACGAAGGAACTGAGTTTCTGAGTGCGCACATATACGTGTAGAAGATTCCATGACATCTTTTTTTTGCCTAATCCCTTAGTAATCCTTACAGGAAACCGAAGAAGAAAGAATGGAGTTGGCCCATCTTCAAGGAATTTTAGCAAGTACTGGGTTAAGCCCAGTTTGTGTGTAAATCCTTACTTAGCTATTAGCTGTAAGGCCAAAAGAAACTTAATAGTACCTAACTGTTAATAGTACTTAACACCCAAAGAATACTGCCCTCTGGCTCCTACCTTAAGGAAAGAAAACTGAGACTTGGCCACTTATATTTCTCTTATTTCCCCTTTACCACACTTGACAATCTTGCCAAGGGAAAACTTTTCTTACAGGCACCTTAGAGAGATCTAAAAACATCACGTTTGGGGCAATAATTTACCATTACGGCACCTTCCCTTCCTTTATTTTCAAAAAGGAGCTTCATGCATTCAACAAACACTTAGTAAGCAGCCACCACCTTCTAGACCCTGTGCACAAGGTAAACACAGTCCCTACCAACGAGCTGATAATCTACTAAAGAACTGTCCAGTGGAAATCTAATGGAAGCCATACAAGTTGTTTTACATTTTCTAGTGGCCATGTTAAAAAGAGTAAAAACAAAAACGTTTAATTTTTTTAAACAATATGTTTCACTTAACCCAGTATATCTGAAGTATTTTCATTTTGGCATGGAATATTTAAAAAATAAAGATATTTCAGTCTTTTCTCTTGTGTAAAATCTCTGAAATCCAGTGTAGTTTACACTTAAGACGTATCTCATTTTGGACTAGCTGCATTTCAAGTGCTCACTGCAAAATGTGGCTAGTAGCTACTGTTTTGGACAGCATAGAACTAGTGTGTATCAAAATAACTTTGAAACCAACTACGATTAAGGTCTTAAAAAGTCTGCCCCACATTTACTTGGGAGGCTGGAAGTGAGGGTAGTACATAGGTGAATAGAGTATCTACAGGGGCTTACCCATCAAAGGAAGAGCTGGTGCAGTCATATACCATCTCTCGGTTACCCTTCATCTGAAGGTATGCATCACAATTGTCACAACCATCATATTCAAACTGGTCTATAGTCTAAGAGGGGGGCAAAAGGGGGAGAAGAGACCATGAACAAGGCCGAAAGAAAAAGTAGCTTTGTTCATACTTCTACCTAGTCAAGTAAAAGGCTCCCTAAACAAGGTTCATCAGGTCCCCCGCCCACCACTCCTAAAGCCCCTACTCCCAAGTTCCACCCTTACAGTCCTTCCTCTCTTGTCCTTCCTTCCTTTCAATTGCGTTTGACCTATTCCTTTCCTAGACTCCTCAGGGTACTCCCTTAGCTGCAGATCCCTACCCTCCTCCGGCTCCCAGTGTCCTTCGGCTCCAACATAGGTTCCCTGGACGTCCGTTAACGGTCAGGCCTGGGCTAAGAGTTGATTCAAAGGCACGTAAGACCGTCCATGCCCACGGCTGCAAGACCAGCCCGCGTTCCTACCGACAAAAGCAACGGCCGCCTACGGCTTCCCACATCCCCTGCTACCCCCGGGGTCCTGGACCTTACTTTCCTCATTACCCCTCAACCCCTTTCCAGCCTCTTTCCCCCAGCTTGGTCCCCCATCGCCCTACAACCAAGTCCCCGACGCACACCTTTACCAGCGAACACAGCAAACAAGCCCGCAGATGCCGCAGATCCTTCGGCACCGTCTCCAGGGCCATCTTCTCAACAGAACAGCAAGGTATTCTGAGGCAGTCGTCTCACACGCAGGAAGTAAATAGAGAATTACCCAGAATGCCCAGTACTGCCGGTTCCTCAGACTTCCTCTTCCGTTGTGGAAGGCCTTGGGCCCCGTCCCTCCCCCCGCCTTAGGAGATGGTTTCTCCCGCCTGGAGGCGGGACCGGCCAGGAGTCACCTGGGCCGGCGCGCGCCCCCGCCACCTGCGCCGGCGCGAGAGTGAGGCTGAGGCACCCGTAGGGCCTGTGGGCGGGGCCCGTGGGGGAGGGGCGGTGCGGATAGCGCCTGCGCAGAAGCGAGCCGCTGCTAGAGCAGGAATCCGGACGGTGCGGGGCCTTTTGATCTAGGCTACTGGCTACGGGGTCCTTTAGGAGGGGCCCGGAAGGCAGCGACATTCTTTTTGCCCTTCCCATTTTAAAAGCACTGGGCCAGAGTCCACTGTCTCCCTTTGGATTATCTCTGCAAAGACGAAAAGAAATCCAGGGGAGACCTCCTCTTTCCTAACTGCGAAAAGCATTGTAGGGTTTTCATTTGCCGTCCACAGGAATGCTGGCCTCTGAGCGGATGGCGGAAAAAATGCATATTAAAAACTCTACGTACGTTTCCTAGTTCCAGCTGATAATTTATGCTTTGTGCAGCTTTTAGCATTCAGACACAGTTCCTTTACTTCAGAACATCTGTAGGAGATTAAGTGTCCTTTAATTTTTTTTTCATTTCACCCTATAGGAAGCTAAATGCCTTCTTCTCTGGTTCCACACTGGGTAGCAGATAACCACCATCCCTACCAAACCTTTCCCGGAGAAGGAGAAAGGGAAAACATGCTTTGGGAGGACGAGAACCAAGTCCTCTCCAGGCCCTGTGGCCTCTCCAGACTTTGTGGAATTCTTCGTAGACACAGCATCAGCTTTTTGGATCTGCACAATAGTCTCACGTGTAGGCAGAGCACAGTCATTTGTGTTTACTTCAATTGGAACTTTGGGATATAAGTATCTTCAGGCCCGGCTGCTCTATCCTCCCAAATAGGCCTCTTAACTGAAACTGAGCTTCTTCAGAGTGGGTCTGTTTCTTGCACCCATCTCATGTTGCATTCAGATGGGCTCTCTGACCGTTGGGATGTTCTCTATCACTGAATATTTTCCTTGGGAACAGGCTTTGACTCTCATCTCACAGGATCTCTGCAACAATTCTGCGAAGTAGGCCCATTTTATGGGTGGAAAAAGTGAGGCAAAAAGTATTTGGCCAAGGTCACAAAGAAAGTCACTGAAATCATAGAGTGCAAGTAGACAGTATAATAATACAGATAATGACTGAACCACAATGAGAATCCAGTCATGTTTTCTCCTTCCCTGCTCTAAGCTGTGCTTTTAGGGTGTTAAGAACACAGGCCTAACACAGGATCACTTCTAGGCAAGTCACCCAACTGGGGCTTAATCCCCAAACTAATTGCAGCTTCAGCCTCTCCCAGGAGTGGAATTTTAAGCCAATCAGTTTGGAAGTTCCAGTGAGGTAAACCGCGTTAAGACCCCACTCCTCCTAAGGGAGGGTGACCTTACTGGAAACAATCCTAATCTAGCCAATCAGTTTGGAAGTTCCAGTGAGGTAAACCGCGTTAAGACCCCACTCCTCCTAAGGGAGGGTGACCTTACTGGAAACAATCCTAATCTTGTTTGCTAATAACTGTTTGCCCCACCCTCCTGTCTATAAAAATCTTCAATTTTGTACAGCATCTTGGAGCACTTCTCTACTACTTGCGAGATGAGATACTGCCTAATTCACGAATCGCTTAATACTAGATCCTCAAATTTACTTTATTGAATTTTGTTTTTTACAAGGGCTTAAAAACAAGTTCTTGTTGCCAAGCCTACCACTTTGCCCTATCCTTTCATAAATCAGAGTCTACCCTCTGATATCAGAAATAATTTATTTCTTTGATGTAGAAGATGAAGTTGTTACCCTGAGTGACAGTCATGACAGAACAAAACCACAATACCAGACCACATTTATGGATAAATATATTAGAAAATAAATACATTTTTCAACATAGTGCCTGATTCAAGCATCTTTCTGTCTGGTTCAGATATAAATACCCATGTGGGTGCCTAGATGCTAGTTCCCCACTGACTCTGAAGGAAAAAGATCCTCAGGTGGGGTCCTGTACCCACTATGCTCCCACATTCACATTCCAAATGGGATAATGCCTGAGGGGCCAGCAACAGTCAAGCTGTCCTATGGTGAATATCACCCCAAGGAGGCCCCTCAGCCCTTGCCCCCTTAGTATCAGCTGCCCAGGCCAGTCTCCCAGCTCTAATTCCATGGTCACATGCTCCCTTTCCTATGTGACCCCTGGCCTGTATGGCTTACATTGGGAAGCTGGGCCACTAGCCCATCTAAGCCCAACAGTCCCACGTTGCTTTTCCTTTGTTATCCCCTTCCCCACTCCCTGCTCTGAAAGAAAACTACAGAATTCCTTGCTGTTCCTGTTCAGCTATAATTCTGTCTTTTCTACCTTCAGTCTATCCTCCCTCTTCCTAGATGAAGTCAGGCAGAAATTCTCTTCTTTTTGCCTACTTTGGGACTTGGAGATAGATTTCCATGGAAGAGTCACTCCATCCCCACTGCCCCCACTCCCAAGCCCCAGAGGAACAGGGGCTGCTGGAGTGACAAGGGAGTGTGCAGACCAGAAGCTTTGTCCAGGTTCCTCCAGGTGCTACACCACCTTGGGGGCACAACTCCACATGCTGACTTCAGAGTCTCCCCTCTGGTGTAATAAGGTGGATCTCATCCTCCCTCAGGTACCAGGGCAGGAACTGCCTAGAGAAGCTTCAGAGCCCCACACCCCCTATTTCAGGCCCCCTGAACCTCTGGCTAAGAAGGAAAATGATAAAAGCCAGTGTTGCTGGTGATGCACCAGTCTTACTGAGGAGGAACCAAAGCTGGTGTGGAGGACTCGCTCAAGGAGGGAGATGAGAGGGGGTCATGCATTCAGCCAGGACCCACTGGCAAGTGTAACATGAGGCTTGGGATGAGGAAGACTTGCTGGGGCTGGGGGAAGGAGCAGCACCTTAACAACACCTGTCTACCCACACCTAGCTTTCTTCTCTCAGAACACAGCCTTCAAGGGAGCCTGCCCACGCAGGCAGTGGCTGGTTGTGTGGCTGGACATGAATCTGCTGCACTGCAGATATGTTGCACAGGCAAGGTCTTGGAGCTGGGAGCAGGAAACACCACCTCCTGCCACCCACCATCACCACTCCTCTTTCAGTGGTTCCAGGAAATACAGTAAGAAGAGGGGTGTTTTCCAAGGTCCTTTCTTCTCTCAGGAGCAGGACTCTGTGCCAGAGAGGGCCCCAAGCCATTCAGAGCACATTCTTGGATGGAGCTAAGGCCTGATCATCTCACACAGCCTGTTCACACAACTCCTCAAGCTCCTCCTCCGAGCCTGCATTTGGAGAGAGGGGAGGAAAGAAGTCACTGAGTGTTAGGCTGGCCTCTTGCTTGTGCCAGCTGCAGGAGAGCGTGGCTGGGGGGGAACCACAGAGAGAGGGGAGCAGGGAAGGAGTGATGAGACTGAAAGCTGAGAGGGGCCCCAGTTGGGACACATGTGAGAGAAAAACAAAGCTAGAGAAACAGAAAATATATACAGCAACCAATCAATGTGTTACCAGTACTTACCATTCATTCATTCACCCAATAAATATTTATTAAGCACTCGTGAATCTGGCCTGCTCCCATGTGCCAAAAAGAAGACAAAAAAGAATAAGCAAGTACCTGACAGCCTTGTAGAAGGAAGGTTGTGCAAGCAAAATGGCAATTATGCCAGTGGGACAGGACCAGGTTCATAAGAGATGAATCAATGAAGAGGAAAGAGCATGTCCAGGTGGAGTAATCAGGAAAGGCTTCCTGAAAGTGGAGATCAATGTGCTGCTCCTAGAGGAATAGGTAAGAATTGGATTTATAGGGATAGGAAGGTAGCAGAACATTCTGGGCTGCAGGAACTGTAAGAAGTGTTTATGCAGTTTGGCTAAAGCATGGGGAAGGGAGGGGAAGGAGAAGAATGGAAAATAAAGTTGGGGAAGAAGATGCAGGTTAGCTGATGCTAGAGCCTTGAAAGCCAACCCAAGTTGGATTTTTCATTACTGTGGACAAAACAGAACATTTGAAGATTTCTGGACAGTTTTGAGGTAGATGACCCTGGCAGCAGTATGCAGGGCAAGTGAGCAGGGTGACTGTGATGCACGGCTCTATAGGACACTGCAGTGGGTATGCAGTGCCCAGTCTCTGTGGCCCTGTAATGGGAAGGGAAGAGCTAGGAGACTCCTGCCTCAATCTTCAGGCTGCACTTAAGACATGGGCAGGGGCCACCAGACTGGAGAAGAATATGATAAAGCTAGCAGAGACCGAGTTAACAGAACTTTTCATCGATTGGATCTGAGAAGCAGGGAAAAGGCAGGCATTAAAACCAGTTCTGAGTTTGGAGAGAGGAGAGGTAGTGGTCTGGCACTGAGAGCACTGAAAGGACCCACATGACAGGGTCCAGAAGGAATCAACACATGGCCAAAGCTTGCACCTTGGACCTATGGGAGCAGTTATTTTCTCTACTATAACTACTTGCATGCCTTGCTCTCCATAGACTTGGATCTCCTGGCTCACAAGTTCCATGTCCTCAGAGCCTAGCATGGAACTTAGCACACAGCAAGCATACAATGCAGAAAGAAAAGAGGAGGGAAGAAATGAATGAATGAGTGAATGATAGCAGCTCTCAGATCCTGCTTGTAGGACTCCTAAACTATGAGGTCTTATATTTCAGGACTTTTGGGTCCCCTTTTTTGGGATGGAGGGGCCTCCTAGTGATGGCTATAGGCAAAGAACTGTGTCACCCACACAATGAAAAGATGGGAAGAGTAGGGTGTGGAAGGGTCTGGAAGAAGAAGAGGGTTCAAGCAAAAAAATACCAAGTTAAAGTTGAGGATTTACATTATCATCACTGGTTGTAATAAAGTAACAGGGATGCAAAGACCCCAGAAAATGAGGTTTGTCTCATTAACAAGGGTGCTAATAAGGGGATTCCTAGGTGTTCATTTAGCCCTTGAGGAAAGGAGAAAACCTTTCTGCTGAGAACCACCTGTGAGTTCTCTCTCCTTTTTTTTTTTCATCATTCACATAGCTCTTCTTATATGGCCTAGGA